AAAAAAAAAAAAAAAAAAAAAAAAAAAAAAAAAAAAAAATAAACCAAGCACCCATGACAGTTGTCATGGAAGCAAGCCACGTGTCAGAAAAAAACATGTGATGACGGATTTTATTTTAGATTCAGCAGTATCTGTGCAGGTCTGTTACATGGATATATTTTGCAATTGATGGTAAGGTATGGGCTCCTAGTATACCCATTACCAAAAAGTGAACACTGTACCCAGTAGATAATTTTTCAACCTTCACCTCCCTCCCATGGAAATGTGAGATGGAAGAAAGGTTCAATTATTTTAAACTGCCAGTTGTTCAAGACACTGGTGTTATAACACCTGCTGGAGGGGGAGATTCTCACTATGCCCTCACAGAGGCAGGAAGCAGGAAGAAGGTTATGAGGATACAAGTAAAAAGCAACAAGAAAGCACTGTTCCTTTCTTCCCCTCGAGCAGTGTTTTGAAACGCACAGGAAACACCTGTCTTGACTCGTATGAACCCACCTACTGGCCTCCAGGTAGAAATTCTCACTTGGTCAAAGTAATGAACTCATCCTGCCTGTCTACTCACCAGGCATCTGTCTACATTAGCCAGAGGGCATGGAACCCGCAGCCCAGAGACATGAGCAACAACACACGGTGAGAACAGGCTGAGAGGTTTTCACCAAGTTCCTACGGAAGGTGAAAACAAAGTGCCTCACCTAGGAAAGGAAAGCCGCTCCTGGGAGAAGAGAATAGGGCCACCTCTTCAACTCCCTCATTCAAGTCCAATCAAGACACAAGGAAAAACAGGCTAGGCATGGTGGCTCACGTCTGTAATGCCAGCACTCTGGGAGGCCAAGGCGGGCAGATCACTTGAGGTCGGTAGTAGTTTGGTACCAGCCTGGACAACATGGGGAAACCTTGTCTCTACTAAAAAATACAAAAATTAGCCGGGCATGGTGGTACATGCCTGTAATCCCAGCTACTTGAGAGGCGGAGGCTGCAGTGAGCCGAGATTGCGCCACTGCACTACAGCCTGAAAGAGCAAGATTCTGTCTTAACAACGACAACAACTAAAAGACACAAGCGAAAACAAAAAGAGGAAAACAAAAGTCAAGTTAGAAAACAGAGAAGGGAGGAAAAAGGAAGAATGGTTCAAACACTGAGCTGGTGGAGGAGACCAATCTGAGCCGAGGCCTCCTCCTCTGCCTACACCCCCTCCTCTGCCTACACCCCTAATCCATCCAGACCCCACCTCAGACTAAAGGCCCAACAATCAGAGCAGGAGGCGGCTGCGGCAGGCTGGGGGCTGTCCCTGGAGAAGAACAGTGCTTTCAACCTGCCAATTTGGTTTCTTAACCAACTGTGACTGAGACCTGGAAGATGCAACAGCCACGGCTGTAGGTCAGTGGCAGGGACCTGATTCTTAGGAATTACAGAACCTGGAATATGGTTCCTCCTGCAGGGAATACAAAAGTCCAGCCACGGATGAAGCTGCCTGGAGCACAGGAAGGAAGTAAAAACAATATAGACTCACGAAACTAGACAAGCTGCCATTTGATCTGGGAGGATTTATTCAGCAGAGAAGCACCAAGTCCTGAGTAAGAGAGTGGAGGTTTATTTACAGCCAACAACGCTCCCTCAATCCTTCCTGGAACTGGTCCCGCAAAGCACACACAAAGCTCCAGTGTCAAACTTGAGTCCCACAAGGGAGCTGCCACATCTAAATCCCACCAAATCCAAATGTCACGTTTTCTTTCTAGCTTGGGGACCAGCAGGCACAGAGAAAGCACTCTGAACAGGGCACCGGGCAGCCAGCCCCCAGGCCATGGGTGAGAATGCTACAGACTGGGGGTTTTCTGCTAGACAATGTAATCTTGCATCTTACATGTAGGTGGCAGCTGGGGAGGCAGATTAGTAAAATGACTCCTTCCAAATCTTTATTCTCTCAGACCTGGGACAGCCCACGGCCTGATGAGATCTCACTTCATGAGCCCAGTAGCTCCTTAAAAACAGATCCTCACTGTGATCCATGAGCCCTGAGGATTCCCTGTGGCCATTTCAGCCTCTTCCTCCCCTTTCTGCACCTAGGATCTTTGCAATGCCTGCTCCTTGAAATTGCCTTCTCCCCACTCCTGCTTAGTAAGCTCTTTGCAGACCTCAGGCCCAGCCTGAGGAAGTCTTCCTCTACCCTCATGACCACCTGGCCAATGAGGACAAACTACCTTACTCTGAGTACTCACAAAAATCACCACCTGTAACAGCCTGGCCCACAGCAGGTGCTCAAGCACTGATCTCTCTCTCTCACACACATACACATATCAACCACTATCAGTTTTTCTTCAGTTCAGTTTAGGTTCCACACCTACCTTTAGCTGTTATGTTTTAACTTCAGACTCCAAGCCTGCTCAACTCCACAGTTAGTTTCGTGTATAGATTCACTGGAAATGTCAGACGGACAGGCAGCAGAAGAGCAGCTAATGAAAGGGTCAGGCTTGCAATAAAAGGCTGCCAAGGGGCAGGAGAAGGTGGCGAAGGGACACCAATACTGAATTACAAAAAAATTTCAAACCCAATTCTTTGCTCGTCTTCCTGTATCATCTTTTTTTTTTTTTTTTTTTTTTTTGAGACAGGGTCTTACTCTGTCACAGAAGCTGGAGTATACTGGCACAATCATAGCTCACTGTAGCCTTGACCTTCTGGGCTCAAGCAATTCTCCCGCCTCAGCCTCCCAAGTAGTTGGCATTACAGGCATGCGCCACTATGCCTGGCTAATTTTTAAATTTTTTGTAGAGATGGGATTTCACTGTGTTGCCCAGGCTGGTCTTGGACTAGGCTCAAGCAGTCCTCCTGCCACAGCATCCCAAAGTGCTGGGATTGCAGGCATGAGCCACCACGTCCGGCCCTGTATTTTCTTTCTGAACACTGGGGCTAATGCTTCTAAATCGTAAGACAAAAAGAATTACTATATAGTTAATTCATTTATTTTTTCCCCATGGATAATTTATTGAGTATGTATTATACACCAAGCAATGCACCAAGCATTGGGGTTAAAATATGAAAACTTAATCTAGGGGAGTAAGTTTAGGTATTATGCTAAGCTCATCAATTAAGAATCTCATTTAATTTTCACAAGAGTCCCATGAAACCATGTTCTTAATCATCACACAATACAGCTGCTTCAGAACAACTGATATGCCATCTTCCAGAAACCCTCTTGGGGGGCATCAATATAACAGTCAAAACAAGGTTTTCTGAGATCAGTGTGAGTTACTTTAGGTTGCCAAGAAAGCAACAATGCTGGGTTACCTTTATAAAACACCACCAAGTTCCAGAAGGAAATTTGGTTTGACAGAGACATGGTTTGGGGCTAGGAGTGAGAGCTGTCAGCAGCTCAGCAAAGCCTCCAAACCCAGTGCCGCATGGGAACATCCCACCCCAGGGGCCAGACGCCAGCCACTGCCACTGGAGAAAGCCCATTTCCTTTACTTGTATCCTGTTGGCTAGGATTGAGCCACTGCCATGGGCACATGGCCTGCCTGGGAATGGAAACACTCAATTTATCAGAAAAATGGGCGGAAGTTGGAGGGGCCCCTTGGGACACATTGGGATTGCCTTTGCTCTTAGGCCGCTTACTGATGAGAAGCCTCTGCTCCCCCAACCACAGAGGGTTTCTATAGGAATGGGTAAAACAGGAATTTGCCAAGACTTACTAAGCCAGCTCTAGAATTGGCCTGTAAGACTGAAGACAAGGTAGAGGGGGGAAGGGAAACAGTTTCTTTCTCTATTTGAAAAATCCAGCTAAATTTACAAAGCCCATGTGGCTCAGCATAGCTCCTGATGTTCTGTTACATGGAACGTGTCGCAAGCAATGAGACTTCAATGTAAATGGAGGTAGCCATTTCCAAGGGGAGACTTTTGTTATCCGACTATTCCAAGTGCAATTTACATTTGATTCAAGACACTTGAAGATTTTTGGTTTCTTGAAAGTTATAGAAGATGGTCAGAGAGGGCCATTCCCTTTCTGTGTCATCCCCAGAGTCAGGAGCAGCTATATCTAGCTCCAGAGGTTGCCTCACACCAAGGATCTGAGTGAAGCCCTTGGTGCTGGGGCGAAGAAAGGCTTATTCCCTTCAAGGCTTCCCACAAGAACAGTGTCTCTGTGCTTCAGGTGGATATATTTGGGGGGTCGGGAGGAGCTTGGAGCCAAACAAGGACAAAAGAGACAGTTTTGTGAGGCTGAGAACGGCAAAGTGACATCTGCAAGGCAGAAAACTCTACATGGCTACCAAATTCCGAAAGCATTCCTTCTCAGAGGTTGGCTGACAAGCTGAGGAGTGGAGTTACAGCAACATCTCAGGCAAATATACCTGCAGTTCCTGAAAACCAGGGTGGCAGAAATGCAAACTGGTCATCGTCAACACACTGGTAGGAAGAGGACTGAGTTATTCAGAGGGCCAAAAAGAATGCCAGCATCTTTAAAGTGCAGCCCAGAAAATATTTACCTAACTCCAAAGTTAGGAATACAAATTAGCAAAATCCTATCAAACCCAGAAATCACCCAGCAGCATTTCGGGAGACACAGACTAAAATACAGAACGAAGGTTGGAAGTTCTGGATCCCTAAGGACAGGCAGTTCTCTGCATCATATAATTTCAAAAAGATGAGTTCCAGATAGGGAAGGAGGGGCCCAGCCACACCTCGGTTAGCAATCCATGGTATCTGGCCCCAAAGGGAAGGAGGTATGTTAGGGCTTGCACACTGACGGGAGGGTGGACCAGACACGGGGTGGCTCCCTGTGGGCTGCAGAACCACAGGAGTTGGGTGGAGCTTCTGGGAGTCTCAGCTTCAGGTTACTTGGATCAACAGCCATGAGAAGGCCCCTCTGGCAGTGCAATGGAGCTAAGGAGGGGTCAGAGGGAGAATAATGGTCATTGTTCCCCTTTGCATGAGATCACAACTTCCAATAACTACCAGCGTTTCTACCAGCACTGTTTAGCTTAAGATGTAGTGAGGCCTTCCTTGGAAGGGGGCAGGACAAAGCCACAGCAGGCTTGGATTTCTTTCTTTTCCTTGGGACAATGGATGAGTGACTTCCATAGCTGGCCTGTCTGCCTGTCTTTCTGTCTCCTGCTCAGACCTGGTCACCACCCAGCAGACCTCTAGACCCCTAAAACCCTACACCTCAGGCTGGGGTAGGTTCTCCCCAGCACAGCCACTCCACAAGCTTCTCAGAATTCCATGTCTCCCAGCTGTGCAAGGCAGCCCTAGTGTTGTTGAGGAAAAGCCTAAAGAAGGCCATCCAGTGTGCTGAGTGCAGGGAAGTGCCAAATGCTAGGGAGGCTTGCGCACTCTCAACAGTGCAAGGCCCACATTACAACTTGCAAGAGAAGAGTGGATGGCTCACAAACCAGCAATGGTCAAGGGCCACTTCCTTCTCTGGTCTTGGGTGAGTCATGCTGTCATTTTTTCCCCCTCCTAATCAGCATTCAAAAGATCACAATGTATGGGAGACAGAACATAGGTGCAAGTGGACTAATAAAACCAAGATGGAAGCACCAAGCATATATGCTCCCGCTCACATAGCGCCCCGCATGACACCCTAAACATAGCACTACAAGCTAACCTACACTATTCAAGTCTCAAAATAACCCTATGAGGTAGACATTATTATTTCCATTTGAACACGAGTAAACGTAGATAAAACACAATAAAGCAGCTTTGGTTCCAAAGCCCAGTTATTCTTCAGCTTCCCAACTTTCCACATTCTCCCTCTAGACTAACAGGCTGCAAAGGGTAACAGTTTCTAAGAAGCTATTCGTTCAGCCACTGGGTATGCCAACAACAAAGACCGAGAAGGAAAAACACCTCTCCAGGAATGATTCTCTAGCAGGTCACAGAGAGAAGCAGGTATTAACACCCTGGACTTAAGGGAAGGCAGCCAGAATTATTACCTTTCAGCTGTAACGATCAGAGGAAATAGCTCTAGAGTCCATGGTGCCCCAATGAGTCATGTCTGAGTTAACTTGTTCAGAAGGGCTGGTCCTGCAGGCTTAATCATATAAACCATGGGGGCTACCACCCTATCCTTAGCCTAGAGACTTCCTGGGGACTCACAGAAAAAAATGCTACCAAATCCTGAACTCTACTCAGCTCTTCTCCCTTCCTGGATGAACAGCCACGTCGACTTCCAATAAGAACACGAGCTTAAAGGATGAGTTATTTCCTTCTGACCCAAGCAAAGAACATGGTCCATTTCCTGCTCATCAAAGAACTTCATTAGAGGGAAACTGCAGACACAGCAATTCAGTTATAAAAACCCATTTAGATTTTACTAGTGTAATGTGCTTATTTCTGGATTTAATCTACATAGCTGAAGAAAATATAAGAATAAGGTAAATCGGCCAGGCACGGTGGCTCACGCCTGTAATCCCAGCACTTTGGGAGGCCAAGGCTGGTTGATCACCACGTCAGGAGTTCAAGACCAGCATGGCCAACATGGTGAAACCCCGTCTCTAAAAATAAATAAATAAATAAAAAGGGAATGAGGTAAATGACGTGAAAATCTGTGCTGATGACTGCTGTCACTCACTACAAGAACAAAAGTTGGTAGATCTCAAGGGATTTAAAAAAAATCTTCTCCCTTTGGAAATTTTTTTTTTTGAGATGAAGTTTCACTCTCGTTACCCAGGAGGGAGTGCAATGGCGCATTCTCGGCTCATGGCAACCTCTGCCTCCCGGGTTCAAGTGATTCTCCCGCCTCAACCTCCTGAGTAGCTGGGATTACAGGCATGTGCCACAATGCCCACCTAATTTTGTATTTTTTTTAGTAAAGATGGGGTTTCTCCATGTTGGTCAGGCTGGTCTCAAACTCTGGACCTCAGGTGAGCCACCCGCCTCAGCCTCCCAAAGTGCTGGGATTACAGGCGTGAACTACCATGCCCAGCCTAGAATATTTAAAAAAATTTTTAAAAATTTGGCCCGGTGCCATGGCTCATGCCTGTAACCCCACCACTTGTGGGAGGATGAGGCAGGCAAATCATTTGAGGTCATGAGTCTGAGACCAGCCTGGTTAACATAGTGAAATCCCATCGCTACTAAAAGAATACAAAAATTAGCCAGGCATAGTGGTGTGCGCCTGTAGTCCCAGCTACAGGGGAGCCTGAAGCAGAAGAATTGCTTGAACCCAGGAGGGAGGTTGCAGTAAGCTAAGATCACACCACTGCACTCCAGCCTGGGCAACAGAGTAAGACTCTGTCTCAAAAAAAAAAAAAAAATTTTTTTTTTTCCTTACAGCAGCTTCATTGAGATACAACTCATATACAATTCTTTAGCATTCATTATTTTTTTATTTTTATTTTGTAAAGACAGGGTTTCACCATATTGGTCAGGCTGGTCTCGAACTCCTGACCTCAGGTGATCCACCTGCCTCAGCCTCCCAAAGTGCTGGGATTACAGGCGTGAGCCACCGCACCTGGCAAGCGTTCATTTTTTAAAAGTTTTTTCTTTATCTTTTTTCTTATTTTCTTTTTATAGATTTTGGAGAATGAGTGTTCATTTTTAACTGTTCATTTGTGTCACATTGCTATTATAATTATACAGTATAGCAACACTGAAGATGTTTACAGACAGAGACAAAGTTGGATACAAAACATGATATTATAGGCAAACATAAAAGAAGAACAAACATGGCTGTACGGTCAGCATAAGGGGATTAGGTGATTTTTTCTTTTCCTTTCACAAAATACTTGATCTTGCTACAATAATTTGACAATAATAAAAATAAACACAATACAGAAACATTTTAGGCCAGGAGTGGTGGCTCACACCTGTAATCCCAGCACTTTGGGAGGCTGAGGAGGGCAGATCATGAGGTCAAGAGATCGAGACCATTCCGGCCAACACAGTGAAACCCCATCTCCACTAAACATACAAAAATTAGCTGGGCGTAGTGGTGCAACCCTATAATTCCAGCTACTTGGGAGGCTGAGGCAGGAGAATTGCTTAAACCCAGGAGGTGGAGGTTGCAGTGAGCCGAGATCGCACCACTGCACTCCAGCCTAGCGACAGAGTAAGACTCCATCTCAAAAAAGAAAAAATTTATTTTGTAAAAAAACAAAAACAAAAAAAACCTCTGTCCATTAAAAAAAAAGTCCAGCTTTCTGTTTAAGTGTATGGGAGGGGGAGTTAGTGTGAGCGTGTGTGTAAAAAAAAAAAAAAAAAAGTCCAAGCTTAGCCCCTGAGAGATCAAGTTTGCTCTTCTGTTCGGCAGAGTAATTCTCAGTTCTCAGGGCTCTCCAGCAGGGCATCAACAAACCACCTGTTTGCAATGCTGCAAAAGGACTCGGGGGTCCTATCTCCTACCACACCACACACCCTCTAAATATCTTCAATATCAGGAGGAATGCAGTCCTATGCTGTTTATGAAAAGCAACGGCAACTTCCTTTCAGATCTCAGAGTCCTGGAAGGGCAGCAAATACACCAGGAGCCCAAATGGGAAACGCTTGTGCTCTGCAGCGATCCTGCAGAAGCTGCCCGTGTTCTGGAGCCTGTGTTCAATAAAGAGAATATAAGATTTCAACCTGCAGTGCTGCCTGCATGCAATTGTTGGCAGGCTCCTCAAAAGTTCTTCCTATAATCAGCAGTCAACAACAAATTCCTGGGAAATTAGCCCCTTAGGCAGTTTTCAGATATTTGATTCTGGTACTTCAAAAGATCTGCAGTAATGCAGGGACGGTGGGAAGGAATTGAGAGGACAGTGGGTGAGGGAATTACCGTCAGCTCTGCCCAATACAAATCCTCGTCTAGACTGTGAGTCAGTAACTCGAGTCAACTGGGAGATCTGGTCTTCTTCAGGGTGGGTATGAATAGCCACTGAGGGAGAGAACCACTCACCCAGCTGGACCAGGCCTCCAGGGGAGGCTAAGTGAGGACTTATCAAGGCCCCTACTCTGGAACTCTAAGACAATCTACTGCCACAGTTCCCAAACTGTGCACCAAGGCACCTGGGGTAACACAGCAAACTCACAAAGCTGCCACAGAATATTTAACAAGACTGTCACAGGAAACACAGTCTTATTCCACATCACATACCACACAAGCTTATGCATATTATTTTTTCAAGCAGCTACTAAATTGAGGACAGTAATACTTATTGTCTGAAGCTAATGACCTAAGAGACAGAACCATTCACTAGGCATTTCTCTCTCTCTTTTTTTTTTTTTTTGGGGACGGAGTTTCGCTCTTGTTACCCAGGCTGGAGTGCAATGGCGCAATCTCGGCTCACCGCAACCTCCGCCTCCTGGGTTCAGGCAATTCTCCTGCCTCAGCCTCCTGAGTAGCTGGGACTACAGGCACGCGCCACCATGCCCAGCTAATTTTTTGTAGTTTTAGTAGAGACGGGGTTTCACCATGTTGACCAGGATGGTCTTGCTCGCTTGACCTCGTGATCCACCCGCCTCGGCCTCCCACAGTGCTGGAATTATAGGCTTGAGCCACCGCGCCCAGCCAGGCATTTCTCTCTTTTTCATTCATCCATTGGTACACAGACAATTCTTTTTCTTTCTTTTTTGCAAACAGAGTCTTGATCTGTGGTCCAGGCTGTAGTGCACTGGCTCGGATCTTGGCTAACAGCAACCTCCGCCTCCCCGGCTCATGATCCTCCCACCTCAGCCTCCTGAGTAGCTGGGACTGCAGGCACGCACCACCATGCGTGGTTAACACTTGTAGTTTTTGTAGACACAGGTTTCACCATGTTGTCTAGGCTGGTCTCAAACTCCTGTGCTCAAGCAATTCTCCTGCCTTGGGCATCCCAAAATGCTGGGAGGATTATAGGAGTGAGCCTCAACATTCAGCCTCCTTAGGCATTTCTTTTGGTCCTGGAGGTCTGTGAAAAACTATGGAGACACAAAGGGCAGTGAACCGAGAAATCGAGGCACCTTCTGACCTACAGGATGAGGGTATAATCAGACTTAGTGACACTGAAAAGGCCAAGCACTGCTAAAAGTGCATTGCATTATGCCAAAAGCATCTTCATGCATATCCTCTCACACCGCAATGGCGACCACCTTAAAGCGGGTCTCATGGCTCTGACTTCCCAGATGGAGCCGAGTGAAGCTTAAGTTATAGGCCTATGGTTCCACAGCCAGAGGGAAGCCAGGCCAGGGCACAACCCAGGTTTTCTGACCATGAGTCGACCAGACTGGCTCGAAGTTGTGTCTGAACTCCACATTTTAGTACTACTTTAGGGATCTCAGAATTTTTAAAATGTTTTCTTTTACTTTTACTGAGTTTATACACGCCTTTAAAAAAAATGTCAGAACAATCCCCTCCAACCCCCACCTGATGCCACCTCTTTGACCCAGAAGACGCAATTTTGTTTTTACAGATGTATGCTCCTGGGCTGGGAAGATTCTTTTCCTAGATCAGCGTGTGGACCGCAGCACCTCAGGGAGGCCAGTGTTCCCATCCCTCCCAGTTAGCTGGCAATAGGCTGCTCCATCTTTCTTGCTCCAGGCCTTCAACCCCCATGTTTGTTTTCAAAGGAAGGGTGTGTCAGGGACAGTGAGTGAGTGGAAACAGCTTCATCCACAGGAACTGCAGGAGTGGAGAAAAAAATAAACAAGGGAAACTGACCAGGGCAGCCAAGGTAAAAATGGACAAAGGAGAGTGGCGAAAGGGATGTTCGGGTGCCAAAGGAAAACAAGGGGAGGAAGCACTTCAGCCACCAGGCTCTCCTTCCCTGGGGTGAGGTGCTGGCCCCAGGACTGTCACTTCTGGTCTGACTTTTTCCAAAACTGCAGTGCCACCTTCTGTTAATTTGTTGCTTACTGAAGAGGCAAAACCAGAAACTTGAAGTTAGAGACAAAAAAAATAATGAAACAGAAGTGCAATGCGCAGCCTCCTTCTCCAACCTCCCGTTCTCTAGTTTGGGGCAAACAGCACCTGCAGAGCTGATCCCTGCTGCCCCGGCCTAAAGGACAGGACCAAAGGCTCCCTGCACAGGTAGGCCAGAGTTAGCTCTTATTCATGCTCCCAAACGTGGGACTCTGCATTCACAGGAACCCCAAACTTCAGAGCAATAAAAACTACAGCAATTCCACAGTCTGTGCACATTTTCAAGTCAACAGATGATAAAGTTAGAGAACACTCAACTTTGCTTATATGCATAATGCCCAAGTCCTTTCCTAGGGAGTTGTTCCAAGGAACCCCTTGGGGTTTAGTCCGACCTCTACCCACACAGTTCTTTTAGGACATTTATGACAAGTAGTTTCTTAAAACTTGCCTGAAAAACCTCGAGAAACAGGGCACTCACTACCTTATGAAACAGCTCAACCTACTTTTGGCCGGAGATCACAAAAGGTCCTTCGTTATTGGAAGGTGAACTTCTGTGGAATTCTACGGGCGGCTTCAGGTCTGCCTCAGACTGCCTTTGCCTATTCCTTAGCAGACCTTCAGACGCCAGAGTGCAACCGCCGGCCCTTCCCAAGTCTTCCTTCTTCCAGCTCTGTCTTTTCCTCCCGTGACGTGTTTTTTGAGTCCCCTCACTTTTCCTACTGCTCTTCTATGAGCGCACGGCAGTTTAAAACATGAAGTCTGCTCTTCCAAAACAGGACGACAACATGGTGGGAGCAGCCTGGGAAGTGTGTGTAGGAGGAACTGGAAGTGGTGGTCAGTTCAACCAATGCTACTGAACAAAGACACACCAGACACTATAGAGCCAAGTACGGCTGGCCCTCTGCATCTGTGGCTTCCGAATCCATAGCCAAAACTCACCTCCGATTGAAAATGTTTGTGTGTGTTTTTTTAGTTGCATCTGTGCTGAACATGTCAGAGCTTTTTGCTTGCCATTATTCCCTAAACAATAGTCTAACAACTAGTTACATAGCATTTACATTGTATCAAGTATCATAAGTAATGTAAAGGTGATTTAAAGTATACATACAATTCCCTAGGCTATATGCAAATACTACACCATTTTATATCAGAGACTTGAGCCTCTGAGGAGGGGGTCCTGGAATCAATCCCCACAGACAGTGAGGGACAACTGCATTTTACTTTTAGTTGAACCCCATAAAATGAATGAGGCAGATTTTATTATGATGATTATTTTCCTGATGAGAACTGAGGTTAAGAGACTTCCCCAAGCAAACCCCAGTCGCATGCCAGAGCTTGAACTCCTCCCACCATGCCAGGGCTGAATCATTTTACTCTGAATACCAACCCATCCTCAACACAGCTCAAGATCCCATAAGGCTAACAACTTAACAAACATTTTCAGAGCAATAAAAACAGCTCTCAAACAACTACTGAATCACTGACCGATGATTTCTGTATTAGAATAGTGGTTTTTCTAAGGGGTCTGCAAAGTCTGTTTTAAGTCATTATTTGTCTTTTTCATTGTCTTGACATTTGCGTAAGCCATGGTGGGTAAACTGCTAGCCTTTAGAACAAATCAAGGTGGCAGCACCAAACTACAGCTATAGTCATTGTATGCTCAGTTGATTAAAAAAAAAAAAAAAAAAAAAAAAAAGGCTGGGTGTGGTAGCTCACGCCTGTAATCCCCAACATTTTGGGAGGCTGAGGTGGGTGGATCACCTGAGGTCAGAAATCTGAGACCAGCTTTGCCAACAGGGTGAAACCCCAACTTCACACACACACACACACACACACACACACACACACACACACACAAAATTAGCCAGGCATGGTGGTGCACTTCTGTAATCCCAGCTACTCAGGAGGCCGAGGCAGGAGAATCAATTGAACTGGGAGGTGAAGATTGCACTAAGCTGAGATCAGGCCACTGCACTCCAGCCTAGGTGACACAGAGATTTCGTCTCGGTGGGGGGGGGGGGGAAAGGCCAATTTCACTTAAGAATGTTCTGCTGGGCCGGGCGCGGTGGCTCAAGCCTGTAATCCCAGCACTTTGGGAGGCCGAGGCAGGTGGATCACGAGGTCAAGAAATCGAGACCATCCTGGTCAACATGGTGAAACCCCGTCTCTACTAAAAATACAAAAAATTAGCTGGGCATGGTGGTGCGTGCCTGTAATCCCAACTACTCAGGAGGCTGAGGCAGGAGAATTGCCCAAACCCAGGAGGCGGAGGTTGCGGTGAGCCGAGATCGCGCCATTGCACTCCAGCCTGGGTAACATGAGTGAAACTCCATCTCAA